CCGCACCTCTCCCTGCCCTCACCTCTCCTGCCCTCACCTCTCCTGCCCTCACCTCTCCCTTCCCGCACCTCTCCCTGCCCGCACCTCTCCCTGCCCGCACCTCTCCTCCCCGCTCCGCGGGCTGCAGGGCAGCTGCGGTTCCCACTCGCCGCAGCCGCACAGGGCGATGTTACGCTCCGGAGAGCAATGACTCCCTGTGACTCCCTGTGAGTCCCTTTTGCCGGTGCTTTAAGCGGTTCCTTCTCTCCGCAGGTCAAACTGCTGCTGTTGCGGGGCGCGCAGTCCCGCGGGGCTCGTGGAGCCGTCGCGCTGGGTGCAGAAACAGCATTTCTGCAATTTCTGTCTCCTTGTTTTGTACGTCTGCTCTGCCCTTGGATCTTGGCAGGAGCCTCGTAAGGCTCCAGTTCAGCGGAGCCGCAGTAATCACCCTCTTCTGTATGATTTACCCACAATTAAATTTCAGCTCAGCGTGTTGCTGCTTTCCTGTCCTGTGCCCTTTGCAGACACTGCCACCAGAGCCGTGTTTCCCCAGCTGCAGACTCCTACGGATATTTAAAGGATAATGTTGTACCCAAGGAGAAATAAGATGGAAGCAAAAGAAGGTGCCATCAGGGACAGTGACGTGACCCCCAGGACACCCGTAAAGAGGGTATTTCTCCTCCTTTCCAACGTGTTCCTGCAGACTGTCAGAGTGTGCTACAGCACAACCTTTATCACCGCTGTCTGTCTAGAGGGGCTGCTCCCCTTCCCTGTGCCCCATCTCTCCCAGGGCAGCCTGGGCTCAGAATCCACGTTGCTCTCTGGCTTTATTCAGCTGAAGACACAATTTTATACTGGTTTTCCGGGGTGCACTCTCACCCTGCGGGTGCCACCTGCCAGCATTGCGCTTTGCTAGCTGGGGAGCCGTGTTTGGGGACAGAGCACGAGCGTGGTGTGACACAACCGGCTTTCAGTGGAGCACTTCCCGTGATTAACACAAGCCTTAGTGCCATGTCCGTGCCCTAATTTGGGTGATACATTTTTGCAGTTTCACTGCAATCAGTACTCAGCATCCCTGCTCCTGAACCACCAGTCTGATCTGTTGCAGGTTACTCACCAGCTGCTAACTTGTATGGGGGATGGCTACATGTTAATTGCAGTTGAAAAGAAAAGAGAGCCTAAGGTGCTTCTGACTTTCTTTATCCAGCTGCCAATATAATTGTTGTACATGTTGCTGCAGAGTAATCATGGGGTGTGTGCCACCAATGTACAGTTACTTCATATTAGAGTTTTGTGCCCAATGGCGTAGCATGCATCATGGGGGAGCTGGGGACTGCCTCTGTATTTAGGCTGCAAAACACTTTGCATTATTATAAGGAATTCTCTAACTCATTTTTCTGGGTGAAATCTCAGACCAGTGGCATTAGCTGCAGGATGTTGATATTTGGCAGAGAAAATGGCCTGAAGCTACAAATGTGACTTTTCTGAGTAGAGAGGATCCTTCATTCTCATGAAGTTCTTCCGGCTTTTAATGAACTGTATCTTGTCAAAAATGACCATTGTGCCTTCCCCAGGGAGAGAAAAGCTTGCTTCTCATTTGGGCTTGTTGTTGTTGTTGTGTTTGTTTGTTTCAGAAACAAATATTCCTTATTGAAATAATCCTTGAAGAGAGGTGTATGTGGCAAAATCCAGTAGTTAAAAGTGAGGTAGTGCCAGATTTATACACTCTGGACAGCTTGAGCTTGTAATACAACAGATTAACACTGAATTCATTGAGAGTTTGATGTGCTGAGTGATGAGCCACTTGGATGAGAAATGGCAGTTTTGCTTTGCATCCAACAACACTGAACCCGATTCCGTTTAAGGGCATCCTGAGACAAAGGCTTTTCTGGCTGCTTTTCCTTCACAGAGTCAGGGCTAGAAAACAAGTCAGCTGAGAGAGAAGAAAAGCAGCTCCAGTCTTCTGATTCATTCCGATTTCTTCAGCAATTGCAGGCCAAATTTTGATGGGATATAAAAAAATTGGCATCCCACAAACTTTGTGCGATAATGAATTCCTGCCTCAGCTTTGCATATGCTGAAGGGCAGTGAAGGGCAGTGATGACATAAGCAATAAGAATTGTGAGAGAAGATGGATTTATGCTCCAGAAAGTTATCTACTTGGCCTCAGCTGCAAGAACAGTACTTTTGTGGTGTCTTAACAACTGCAGAAAGGACTGAAGTTACTGATGTTATTGGGATGAGAGAAATGGAGAGAGGCAGAAGTGAAGTACTTTTTATTCACAGTTTTATCCACTAATTGCATGTATGGATAAACAAGATATTAGAAAAATAATTTGTAAAAGAGCTTTATAGTGGACATTTACCTTTCATGGAACTCTTAACAATATTGGTGATTCTTTTTGGCAGCATGAAAGCTGTGCTGAACACTGGAGATAAGATAGAAGAGAGTTCATATCTATGGAGTTTTGAACTCTCTCTCCTTTGTTCCATTCTTTCCATTTTCTTCTCATCCAATGGAGTTTTGATTCTTGTTTGTAAAATTGATTGTTGTCATGGAAATATCTGAAGGTTTTGAATATAGAATTATTATGGTTTTATTGTGGAGACATGAAGGAAGTGGAAAACAAACTCTAAGAGAGAGGTGTCCCATTTAAAAATTATGCACCTCCAACAATTTGCACAAAAAGCAAATGCAGGTTTTTATTTTACCCAGGGGCAGAAGATGTTTTGACTTTTATTATAAATGTATTTTAGGAACAGAAGGCAGCACCTGGTGTGTGCTTTCAAAGGTTTAGCAGCTATCATCAGTGAGCAGCACTGAGGAAACAGCAGTAATCCAACTTAATAACTTAAAGCCCAGAATGTGCTCAAATGACTTTACAGTTGTTTACATGACAGTAAACATCTGCAAGCAGACTTTAAAGGAGCATCGGTTCATTCATCAGCAAAGCTGTGCTCTAAGGCCATTAATTCAGAGGTGGCTGTTTCAGGCTGAGCTTCTCGCCGTGTTTCTGCTCATTGTGCTGCTCTGTCCCACCCTGGGCACTCATGTCCCTCTTGGTTCAACTTGTTCACCTTGGGGAGAGAGAACATGGTTCCTCAGTCACAGGTATGTTTCCTCTGTATTAAAAGTACATAGAGTTTATTAAATAATACATGATATAAGAATAATAGATATATCCTGCATTTAAAAAAGTATCATTGGACATTCTTTCTAAGTAAGGTCTGCAGGTTTTGACTCAAAGCTGATCTGGCTTTGGATGGAGGTATTAAGCTGACTTTACATGTGTTTATTAATATCCATTAGGACTTGAGTTCTTTTAATGCCTGAACATGCAGGATGGGATTGCACAGTTAATTATCCCTGGTCATACCTTCTTGTTGATAATTCTCATGTTAAATGGGGAGTGATAACTTGGGTCAATTCACCAGCAGATAATCCATTTTGTCTTCATCCAGTAGTTATATGGGCTAAATAGCCACGACTCAGTACACACTGAGAATAATAAGAGCTGAATAGTTCACAATCAGACAAAAATCAGACGTATCTTGAGGAGGGATTTGTGCAGTTGGATTCTATTGTGCTTAAATTGCTGGTTTCTGAAAGGCAGGTTGAACAACTTTAGATTCCCTAATGTTTACTGATGCTGTGAGTGTCATCTACATGGATGTGCCCAGTGCAGAAGTATTATGTGCATCAAAGACTAGGAGTGTGATTTATATCAACTCGTAGAACAGCCTGTAAAAATGGGAAGCTACTTAAACCAACAAGCTTCTGCTGTAAGCTGCAGCCCTGTCTCACCCACCACAAGGGTTTTGACAGCATTTCTGTCCCAACCCAATTTCCCAACTTGATGGCACCCCTAAATCTTTCAGAAGAAATTAATGGAAACATCTATCTAGAGGTTTGGATTATGAATGTCAGTAGAAAAGACATGACTTTGCAAAGCATCAGTGTCGTGGTGGTCAGGCAGGTAACTGTGGTGCCCTGGTAAACAGAGGAAATTTATTTTTAACGTGTCAGAGGATATAATTTCAGTTTGTTAATGCAGAGAAAGAGTTATGGAGAGGCAAATTTTCAATGGTTCTGATTAAATTTGCTCTAAATTTCCATGTAGCTCTATATTAAACCCCCCCCCAATTTGTGAAAATTGGATGAGATTGAACAATATTCTCATCTATCTTCCATTTCTGTTACTGAAAGGCACAAGGTACCTTAGAGGGATGAAAATCTTGTCTCAGTGTGTTTAGTATTTTTCTATTGATCATTACATTCAGTCTTGTCTTAGAACCTAATATTTAGATGCAATCTGAAAACTAAAATTCTCAAAAGCTCAGTGTCTGAATCAGGCTTTTTAACTGTTCACATAGAGCACAACAGATGCATCCCTGATCCTGCTTAGGCAGTGAATACTGCTGCAATACAAACAGTAATAAATTTATTAAGGCAAAGAGAGGCAAAAAATAGAAGTCCATTTCTATGTATTATTGAAAGGTACAATAAAACCCCAGTTAAATGGCATGTCCTCTTTCCCATGGAAACACCAGAAAAGAGAGAAGCCTCTGCAGAAAGCAAAGCAGTCTCTATGAAAGAAATAAATTTATTTTTAAAACCTGTGGGTATCTCTGCAATTTAGGGCTGTGGTGGCAGAGGCTGCTCCTCCCCAGCAATGTTGTACTGGTTCCAGTGGGGTTTGGTGTGGATGGGGAGACCCCCCACCCCAGACCTACTCATCTGATGGCCAAGCCTTGAGGCATGCCCATCTCTTCCACATAAAGCCCAACACAAATGCTGGGGGAAATGTATGGATGTTATGAGTCCATTAAGGAGGCAAAGCAACCTTTGTTCATCATAGATGTGCAGGGTGTAAAATGGGTATATGGGAGGCTGCCCAAGGCCAGTACAGGGAGAAGATAGTGTTGGAGCTGCTGAGGAGGGAATGCCATGTCAAAAGGAGACATGAGGAGGTGGAACAGCCCTTGAGAGTGGGGGCAGTTTTCCTGGGGGTTTGTCCCTTGGGAGCAGCCACGTTCCCTGTGGCAAGTTGCTGCTGCTCCAGCTGTGGCCCCTGGCTGCACAGGCAGGGCAAAACCAGCCCCTCTCTCATCTCAGGGCTGGGGGCCAGGGAAGGTGATGCCTTCATGTCTTGTTGAGTTTCCAAGGTTCGCTTGGGCTTCCTACCCTTTTTTGGTGGGACAAATTTGGAAGTGGAGTGAACAGACCAAACAGTATTCATGTTTGCTGTGGGGCAGGGAGAGGTTTTGTTTTCAGCATCATGTGATACCAAGTTTACTGCTGCTTTACAACATCTGTGTAAATGGCCCTTGTCCCTAGGAATTCAAAAGATCTTCTACTGGAGAATTTGATGATGGACAGAAATGTTTCCACACTAAACAGATTTTCCAGTGCTTAAGTAATTGCCAAAGCCCAGAAACATGAGGACCTCAAGGGAAGGGTTTTGTAGTCCCTAATAATGAGATCATTTTGTCTTTTCTTCAGTGTACTCCGTCCAGACACTGTTCACCAGCAGGGTCTGGAAGCCACTCTTGTGGTGTTACACAACATGGCACTGCTCAGGGGCTTGCACCATGTCCCTGGTGTTTCCACCACTTGTGGCACTTAACGATTATGGAATCAATTATGATTATAACTGAAACCAACTGGTGTCAGAGAGGTTGTTTCAGGTGGGGTTGTTGTTAGGGAAACCATAGGACGACGCCAATAACCACTGCAAGACTAAAAACTATTTACTAAAAATGCTTTATACAAAACACATGTAGAAATTTACAATATGTACATGTTACCAGAACATGCTACAGCTACAAATAAAAATTTGCTACACTCGCCATGAGAAAGGTAAAGTGAGATGAAAATTATGATTCAGGTGCAAATGTACAAA